AATACATCCAAGAAGTCAATTATATTATTCTTTTTCTGTAATTTAGACGTGTTTTATAAATATAATACTTTATTTTTTTGTTTTGTAAAACAAAAATTGAACCAACATTACAGATGAAATTTTATTTGAAACATTCAATATCATTAATTTAATAATGTTGTTTTTAAGTATAAGTAAAATTATTGCAAGATCACAATTATTGACACACTTACCCTATTATGTAAAAATAACAGTAACTAAACTATTCAATTTTCATACTTAATTAAAGAATTATTACATGCCGTGAGTTATCGTAAAATACAATGTATACGTGTATTGTGTCTGTGCAGAACCACGAAAGGCCGAAAACTTGACGATTGTCCTGCAAGCTAACAAATTTTTATCCGATGTAATAGTCATTGAATAGACATCGTTATTAGATGATACGTAATGCAGTAGAAATTACCATTGAACTGCAGATTGCATCTAATGAAAATGTCCGCACGCATCATTGCAGCATCAGAGAGTACAACAATGTTGTTAATATGAACGTTACAAAAATGTAAAATCACCGATCAACGTAACAATTTTTCTACACATTCGTCACCGGCAATTCGAACGATGTTCACACCTGTCCAATAATCGGAGATCGTCCAATGCTTTTGAAGATAGAGACTCGACTTTCGATTTTAGTTCGACAACGAGACCAGTTCGATGTTCGTTCAGTGATCCGTCGCCGCCGCGCTTCATTTAATTTAACTAAAAAATTAGTGGAAGCCAACCAAAACCAGGAGTTACCATAAAGGCGTGGGTAGCGAGAAGTTGCTGCTGGATTTGCTGTTGAAGGTGATGGTGTGGTGCCGGAGGTGCCGGTGCCTCCTGTTCACCAATGACGTAATTGGAGAACACACCAACAATCAACCACAACCACGAGAGCCACAGCGGCAAACATAGGGGACAGACAGGCAGTCATACGAGTAGTATAGGGTTCGATGTCACGTAGCAACGACTATGAATATATGTCATGAATAAAAGGCATGTGGGCATTTAAATGATGTGACTTGATTCCGCGCGACCGAATTTTTTCTTCTCTGTTCGCCAATGTCAGCGCGCATCTTGGCGCGGGCACACGATAGAAAAACAGATCGGATCTATCGGACTACTCGTTCCAATAGAACGCATCTCGCATTTTGTTGATTCGTCAGAGTGATAGATAGTATCGATTGGAAAACAATATTGACGAACCGACAAAATTCTATTTTTCAATGACAGTTTCGTGGCAGATCTAGGTGAACTAATGTAAGGCTACTGTTTCTTTCTAGAGAGAAATTCATTGATATTGACTGTCTATCAATATTCATGGATACAATTCAGGAGAAAGGGGATGACATTGACCAAAAACATGCGGCGTGCTAGATTTTACTCGCGGAGGTTTCATCTCTCGATGCAATGCCCGCAATTTCAAGGCGCTGGGGAATTGAGACGACTACGTAACGTATAGAAAATTTCGGCGATCTATAACCTGATTAATCAGACCATCAGGCGACAAATGAGTAATCCAAAGTTTCGTTTTCGAGATGTGCAACGAATCTAGTATCGATAATATCCGACGTAATTTGCCCGATTGTATATACGTGATTCTCGAAACAGCAGGGTTATCCTTTCAAATAAGTATTCAACAAGCGAATGGTATTACTCATTAACATACTTGCTAGTACTAGTTTAGCAAATTTCATAATATCTATTAGTTAAGAATAGAGACTACGTTATCTATTACTCTATAATCAAAACTCAATCTATTGAAATTGGTTGAATTTTCAAACGACCCAAGGTTACTGTCGTTTCACGTTAATCCCGATATTGCGTAAGAATGAAAAATAACAAAAAAGAAAAGATTCGGATTGTCGTTCATTTACCCAGCGTAGCCTACCAGTAAGGGGTAGTCTAGTGGTAATCGTCGACTAACACAGACAAAATTAGGAATATGTCGATCGTGATAAAAGAAAACCAAAATATGTGGATGTGTGAACAGCAGAAGACATGGTGCAAGTATGCATTAAAGTTCGGACGTACCACTGCCGGTACCTGGCCAGGCACGAGCGGCTGGGCCGGTGTGAGACCCATCTGCTGCATCAGCGCATTCTTCAGGGCCAAGTGATTGCGGCCGTTTATCAAAAGCTGGTCCTTTAGGTGCTGTGGTGGATGGAAATATTTGCAGGGTGGCTTGTCGCGATTACATCGGCCCTGAAACAAAAATACGCTCCATTACAGTCTGAACGGATCCAGAAAAATATTCTATAAAAGCGAACTTTATCATTGTGTCCGTTATTAACGCCTTCCATATATTGATTTGGATTATTTCAAATCCTCGATAAATAAATAAACTGCGGTTTTCATGCATTTTTGATGGAAATTGGACTATGGAATTATGGAACTTAAAGGTTACTATTGGAACTTAAATCAAACCATCTAATCTACTCATTTTTTTAAAACATTGCTTTGCAACTGACTTATTACGATATTACATTTTTTCAATAAAAAATGAAAATGATTAAATTATGAAAAATATTAATTTTTTATTGTAGACAGTTATCGAGGCTCAACATTCAGGGAGGGAGTACAGTAACCGAGGCACAGTAACTAATCTTTGTAGATCATAAGTACACACAGACTCCAGAACTTTCCTTTCTCTTCTAATATTCGAAGACGATTCGATATTTGCTTTCGATGGGAAAATTGATATCGATGAAAGCAACTTCGAAATTAACCTTCAAGCTCCCAAGGAATGTCAATTAACCCCTTAACGCGCAGAAACGTATTAACACGGGCGTGCAAAACCGGCCAAAATGTGCAGACCCGTATATATACGGTCGGCGTCGCAACTTATGTTATGTTACCTATATTAATTGAAAAACAGTACGATGGGTACAAAATTCGATCTGCAATGCGATTCAATATTCACTATAATTATTTATCCACTATTTTTATTGAATTTTTAGTAATTTTTGCATTTTTTTTACATATTTATTGAAATTAAGGTCCAAATATGCATTTTCTTAGATAAAAAAAATTGATTTTTTTTGGTCGGTTTTTTTTTTTTAAATTGTGCATTAAGGGGTTAAATTGCTACAGTTGTTTTTAGCAACGAGAACTCCTGAAGTTTGCCAACGGGGCGCAGTAATTTGCTCCTCTACCCTATCTAGCACAGTCTCGAAAAAATTGTTCGGTTTCCGTGAATCGTTCTCCCAGCTTGTTACCCTATGTTGAGTCATCGACGCGTACGTAACGACGCGCGGCGTCCTTAAATCGCATTAAAGCTCGCTGCGACGACCGAGTTACGAGGAGGCGGTAGACCTTCCGATATTAGCTGTATTATAAACCACTTGTACGCGAGTGAGTTTCACTCGCGGGTAAATTGCAGATAGGTTGCGCATACACTTTGAAGACTTTCCTCTGCTTCTAATGCGGTGGGTCTAACGCTCGCGCGGCCGTGTACACGTGTACACAGAGGCGGTTCGCGAGAATATTGTTAACGGGCGAATGTACCGTAATTAAAGTTGCGTTTAATCGCACTTCCATGCCACTTGTGCGAGCCCGATGTTCTAATAAGCTGCAACAGGAATTGCCTTCTGGTTTTCACGTGCGCGCTTTAACCGTTTGAGTTTCAAGCAGCGCGATCGCGCTGTTTAGATCACGCACATCGCATAGCTGCTTTTTTAATTCCTTTTTCTTTCGTTTCGTTTGTCAACCTCGACGAGCGCCGTCGCGCCGCTTGGTTCTCTTCGCAATCGATTAACCCGAGAAAGATAACCTACGTCGCAAAATAAACGGCTCATATGTTGTTCCGCGAGGCACCATGGCAGGCGGCTTCGTCGAAATCGAGAGAAGTCTTCCCAAGTCTTCCCAAAAATTTAGACAATCCTCGTCGTCCGCAGACATCGTTCGCCCCGGGCGACTTGTCGCGATCTTGCACGTGTCTCGCGAACGAACGCGACACCGTCGTGAAATTCGTGGCAATTAGCAACGCGAGCGTTGCCCCGGAACCGCGAAGTCTCGTCCGTTAACATATCGGCGGCGCTCAAGATACGTATTAGAGTGTCCCATAAGTTCTTTCTTTTTTTCTGCTACACGATATTTGTTGTTTAAGGTTGATTTATCGAGTTATATATGAACCGTCCTGCTCTATTACCTTCTTCCATCTTTCGGGAAGCCTCACTATGCCGTCTTTTCAAGATTGTTGAGGCTTATTTGCAAAATATCGATCAAGGTGCGTTTTTATTTCGCTTACGAATTTAACCCGAGAAAGATAACCTACGTCGCAGAGGCGCCTGCGAAGACTGTTGATTTTTGTTAATTTTTCATAGAGGTCTAGTGATTTAAGTTTAAAATTACTTAAAATATAAAAAAATATAATATAAATGCATTTTATTTTTACAATAATGCCAAACCTTTAAAATGACTAGATTAACTTAAATAAATATCCATTGTTAGTATAAAATTGACGCC